GGTATGACAGAGCAGAGGAAGAGATGGGACCGCCAAATGGAGAGGGTGTGATTGTTGGATGACAAGGTCTGTGAGGCATGTCGTGTCTTTTTGGTGCAGCTCGAGCTGACTGCCTGAACTGGCTTGCAGGCGTTGCTCCAAAATTGTACCATTTTTTTCTTCCCAGTATCATTGTATCATTCATTGTATTCAGGGATGCAGCGCCCTCAATAATACATAATGGTTCAAATATACTATCACCATCAGTTGTTCTTGTTCCTGGTTCATCTTTGAAGAATATCTCACTGACTGGTGTGGTTACAGAATTATATAAAAACAGAATGGGGTTCTGTAGCAAGACTTTATGTTGAATTCAATGTTTCTGTTGAAGTTACTGCAGAGGAAAAAAAGGACTGGAGCCTTGATTTGAAGCCTTTAAAGGATAAGTCTGGTGATACTAAAAATATCTCAAACCCAAAATGAATGTATCTACTTACAAGTACTGTGTGTATCCAAAGCCTGATATATCGTCTTCCTCTGTGCCTTTGAGCTCCATTGTTGTCTAAAAACTAGTAAAACAAATCAGCCACACTGTTGCACTGGTTGACATGTTCCTCCATGAACACACACACTTTGTTCTGTTTCCTTCATCATGGTCTGTTGCCATTTTTTCTGGGTTTAGTCCACTTGTTAGTCTGTTTTATCCGTGTCCTCTGTTTCTGCATTCTAGTCTTGGTATGTTCAGGTGTTTGTCTCGCATCAAGTTGCAGTTTGTCTGTTTACTCCAGCTATCTGTCTTGCCTCATTTCCTGTTCTGATGTTGTCTGTGTTTGCTGTCTGTGTCTAGCTTTCTGTTCTGTTTACCTTGATATCATCCACCTTTTTTTATGTTCCCGTCCCGCTTGTTTGCCCTAGTACTTAATACCTGTGTTCTGTTCAGTCTGTGTCAGCTTATTGTTACATGTAGCCTGTGTTTGTTCCTGCAGTACCATGCCTGTGTTTTTTTGGATCTTTGTTTCATCTTGCGTACTTTGGATTTTATTTAGAGTCAGCCACTGTTTTTAAGTGTGCTCGCCTTTTGTTAACAAATCATTGAACTATATCTGCTCTGCTTCGGTGTCGTGCGTTTGGGTCCTCATACTGCTCCATCACAACACACATCCTGATACATTTTTTTGCTGTTTATAGGCTCCGATCTTTAACCAACTCCTCCTAGAGAATTATTCAGATCAATTTTAGCCATGCAACCTTAAGACCCATGCAAGGCATTATTCGCCATGAAACAGGTTTTTTGAGGGGCTAAGGATGTTTGAAAACTCATGTGTTGACTGATATAGCTTTGTGGCATGGGTGGGGAAAATTGGCAGCCTGCAAAGAGAGGAGACGAAAGAGAAAAGAGATTTCACATGGCTTTTAATCAAGAATGTACAGATTCTTACATGTATTGTACATTCCTACCACGGACAGTTCAAAACCAGAATATCTCATATCTCCAATCTTAGCTGGCAGAAAAAGCTAGAGCTCACGCTTCTCACTGAACAAGAGACAGTAGGAAAGTGGTATACTGTATGAGGGAATGAAAGAGAAGAGGATGGATTAAAGCTGTTCATTTGTTAAGATGTGATGAGTGTTTATTATAAAATTGGTTGAGACTATACTTCAGTCACTTCAAGGAACACATTTTTTTTCTGAAATTAAGCACTTTATTTTAGTTTACTTAAATCTAGAATTTATTATTATAGAGTAGATTATTTATTATCCCTCCAGTTTTATGTGAAAACTGACAGTAAATGTTGTTGAAATATTATTTGATTTGACAGTCAGTTGTTAACTAAAAACATGAATGAATGATGACGCAAGTTGTTGTCGTTATGATGTTCCGTAACTTTGCTTCGGGAAATTTTCTCTAACTGGACCTTTTTGAATTTTAATTGAATACCCTGACCTAAACCCAACAGGATCTAATGGTTATTTTTGGAGATTTCCAAGTCCCTTACTTTAACAAACTCCTCCTACAGAATTAATCTGATCTACTTCAGATTTTCCCTGTGCAATCTAAAAGCATTGATGATGACAAGTTGTGCTATCTGTGAGTTTGAGTGATTGTGACTGTGAGTTTTTGGTTAAAGGGTGTGTCTGATGCGTGATGTCAAAAATTAATATTTGCCAATAAACAGGAAGTTGTTATAACTTCAGTAGACATGTCCACATTTGTATGAAAATTTGCGTGTTTGATAAGACTCCCATCCTAAACACATCTATAGGAGAATACTCACTCATACTCATAGCCCCACCTACTGGCAACAGGAAGTGACTGCTCAACAAAGCAGCCCCCATGACCTGTTTCACTTAGATGCACGAAATGTTTCTGGCACATGTATCATCCCAAAATGCACAAAAAAGCCTCCTGGAGCCATACCCTAAACCCAACAGGATTTGGGTTTGATCTGAAAGTGCAATTTCAATAATTCGCCTTCTACAGGGTCAATACTTTAACAAACTCCTCCTACAGAGTAATGACAATCGATGTGAAATTTTTGCTGTGTAGTCTCACGGGAAGAGCCGCGTTTCGACCAGAGGAACTATACCCCGGAACTAGGAACCTTTGGAGGAACTCACTGCGTTTCCACCACAGGGACCAGGGTCTAAATTTAGTTCTTTATTTTACCCTCCAAAAAGTCCCTACTTGGGAGGTAGTACTTTCCAAAAGTACCAGTACTTTGGGGTGGGGGGGTGAGACTTGCCTTGCAGTGAATTTCTGAATTGGCGAGTAGAGGCTACTGGCTTTAAACTGAGCATGTCGACTGTTCTTTTTTTTACTACTGTCCTCTTTCCACCGCAGTTTGCAAACCAGTAAATAGTCAAAACAGTCAAATAGCACACACACAAGTCTCGTCGATGTCTACCTGAGATGATATGTTGACATTAAATGTATTGCTCAGAAACCTCACCCAGCGTGCTGTGGTGTATTTACAGCCAACAGCTGATGGAGTTACGCTAAGTACTGGGTCCAAAGTTGTTGTTTTAAGTTTTCATCAGTCAGGAAGTTTTTACACAAAGCTGAAGTCTGTCTCCTCCTCTACAAAACAATCAGAACAGCTGATTACAACAGGTAAGCTTGTTAAACATCACTTTCCTCCAACTCTCAGGCGGAAACAGACATGAGTGCAGCAGTTGATCATGGATAATAGTTACCAAATAATGATGCCTGTCCATCGCTTTGTTTGTCGTATAGGCCTACAGCCTACTTCAGCTGGTTAATTTTAATCTTCCCAGGTCTGCCATGCAAACCAAATCATTTGATTTACATGGCATTTTCACAGAGTGGTAAAGACTTCATGTACTGGTACACAGCATATAATTAACAGGTGTTCTCTAGCACCAAGGGAACCCAAGAACTATTGTGTGATTGGTTCAAAATGCGCAATTACTCAGACCTTCATCACCCGGTCCTTAGCCACTGCTCTGCAGCCGCATCAGGGCCTGGCGCGCCACAGCACGTGGGCGTCCAATGCTGCTTGCAGCTTCAGTGTATTTTGAGATTGTTGTAGTAAATGAGCATAACTTGGTTAAAGGTTCAGTGTGTAATATTTCTGAGGATTTATTGACAGAAATGCAATATATATATCGGGGCGGCTGTGGCTCAGGAGGTAGAGCGGGTTGGCCGTTAATCGGAAGGTCGGCGGTTCATTCCACATGACCATGTGCCTATCAAGTGACCAATAATGAATATTTTCCAAATTTTCATTAAAAAATGATAGTGCTTCCCACTTTGCACACAAATGTGTAATTTGTACTTTCTCATGCTAAATGCCAATTAAAACATTGCACCGTTTTACCACAAGCTGAAATTATGGCTGTCAGTACTACTTTGTCTTTCTGTTGTATTTCAAAAAATTAAAAAAGACATTTTGGCAATATTTGCATGCTTATCTAATTAAGCAAAGCGAGATGAGCTTTGATCCTCACCAGCCAATCAATGCCTTTGTAAACTTCATGTATTATGTGCTTTATAATGGGCTGTGGTGCAGAAACAGTGAGGCTTACATTGTTCTGGTATCTGTCAGTGGTCATACTGGATGCACTAGATGTGATAGTTTTTGAGATGTTCTCCATTTACTTTGGTATGTTAGTCCAGATGAGCCAACCCTCCCAAGATGTAACAAAAAGTACGATTACATTACAGTAAAATACTGTATTACAGGAGTATGAGACATCATGTAGCTCTTCATTTATTGATGTGGCTGTTGTTTTATGAACAACAATAATATTCACAATAACATATGGTTTTACTGAATAATCAAGTAAATATAATTTCTTGAATATCAATGTAAAGAAACCTGATTTCTTGACTGGCAAATCTCTGCTATCTCACAGAGGACATCTTTTGTCCTGTCTCAGTTGTAGTTCCATTCAAATTGTTAACAACTTTGGTCACTGGATACTTTTCAGGTTAATGATACAAAACAAACTACCCAGTAGTCAAGTAGTTAATTTCTTTTTACCTTTTACCAGCTGCAACATTGAAGTGATGCTTACACAATGCAACAATAATTAAAATAGAATATATAAATATATATATATATATATATAATATAATATAATATACATTATGAGTGCTTTTAAATTTCTGTTACTTCAAGTATATTTTATACTAATACTTTTATACTTATTAAATATTTCTACACTGTGGTATTACTACTTTAATTAAGTAAAAGCTTGGAGTTATTCCTCCACTGATACCTTCTCACCTGCAAATCTTCAAAACCATGCTGACTGGGAGCTTCACAAGGTTGTATTTATTGCAGGGCTGTTGGACCACATTGCATCATATTGGATATTGTAATTGTGGTCATGTTATTGCTTTCACTCCCTATACTTAACTGAATCAGCCTCTTGATCTAGGCTAGACCATTATACTGTGTCAACACTGAAAGTAAAATAGACAAACTGAGATTAAACATATTTTCAACCTGTGGTTTACTGTAGTTTAACTGGAACGTTGTGTATTTTGTGTCCAGGCATCACCACAGTGCTGACCATGTCCACCATCATCACTGGAGTGAATGCGTCCATGCCCCGGGTGTCCTACATCAAGGCGGTAGACATTTACCTCTGGGTCAGCTTTGTCTTTGTCTTCTTGTCAGTGTTGGAGTATGCCGCCGTCAACTATCTGTCCACTGTCCAGGACCGCCGGGAGCGCAAGATGAGAGAGCGGGCACGATCTCAGGTTTGTTTCTACTATATGCAGTTTGATTCTGTGAAATTGCCAAGCAATAAGAGCCATTCCTCTCTGAGCTCAGGAGCCAGACCAGTCCTTTTAACTCTTCTGGGAATTCAAATTCCAAAACCTCCACCTACTGTCACGCTGTCTAGATACAAACAACAAAAAGCAACAGTGAAACAAAGTGAGAAACAAACATCAAGAACCATTAACTTCATGGTTTGAGAGATTTGTTAAGGTCAGTATCCCATCCCTGAAAGAGTTCTGTTTGAAACAGTGAGTTTTACTAGAACAACTGGATCTAGTTTTGGATAAGTAAATCAACTCAATACATACACTGTTAAAAATCCCTGAATACAAACAAGAAAAATTAAATAAGCCCTGAAAGGCAAGTGAGAAAAAAAATCTGTGGATCCATTTCCTAAGTCGGATCTAAATTGTTTTCTCTCCTAGTGAAAGACTAAAACACTGCAGGAATACCCTTTACAGTAGATCTGTAGTCAGTAAAAGATGGTATATTTGCAGGTTGTTTTTTTCTTTATTAGTTTAAATTGTATCTGATTCTTTTCTCAATATAATATAACAATATAACTGGGGCCCTGACCATGCAATTCACTTTTCAAACTTGTTTGTCAGCTTGAGCTGAAAAACTCATTGAATATCTCATTTTAAAGCTGCACTAATCAATTTTTGATATTAACAATGGGTCAAACCACTATGTGTAATAATAATCTTATTATTATATAATAGGAAAGTGGCTACTCGTAGTGACAAGTCTACGGAGAATTATCACCAACTTTGCAGTTCCCCTTGGCTCTACAGAGCTTTTTCATGTATTTCAGCCAACTATTTTTTTGTTGTTGTTGTGGAACTTTACTGTTTAAGTTCAGTCTTCCAGTTCTCATCATTGCAACAGTCAGCTGTTGCTGCTGAAGTCCAAGCACCAAACAGCAGGCAGACAGTTAGCACCTACTTGTAAAACATAGGGGAGCTTTTAGCAAAACAGAGCCAGATATATTTATTAGGAGTTGGTGAAGACCAAAAACAGAGCTAAAGGAGAGTGGCTATTGGACTTGCATTCATCAGGTGGACACAAACATGAATCAAATGAATGTAAACTTTGCTATATCTGCTGGCTGTACAGGCAGGCTACGGTGTGCGAACTCATTAGCCATATCAACATTCCAGAAGTATGTTAGTGTTGTGTAGCTTGTTCTGTACATTTGATATAATTTCATTTTAAAAAATCAAGACCAGTTACCTTGAAGTTTAATGATCTAAGGCAGAGCATTGACTCATGAAATAGTTTTCCATAGGTCAGTTTTAATCAGTTATTTAATGTTAGATGACAAGCTGTCATGCCATGAGATCTTACGATATTAAAACGTGACGATATTTCTCATTGATGTGAAATGTGTCTCATGTTATCAGCATGAGCAACCCGTTCTCTCTCCCTGACTCGTCAGTTTGTAACTCACTGGGGATCCCTATAGCGTCATAGTTCAACGCGGTGGGGTAAGCCCTGTAGCATCAGTTTTTATAAGGAGTAAGGAGGTGGTTTGGGTGGATGGAGGGCCAGAAACCGGACTTTGAACCAGAAGACCAGTGTTCATGTGCCTTGTGAAACAAAAAGTCAATATTAAGCATTTTTATTTAAGTTATGCAAGTTACGTAATTTGCGTAAGTTAACGTAATACTTCAATTAATAGCCGAGTCCCAAACAGCCGCCTGCCTCCTTTACTGGCCTGATGTGGGGACACATTTTAACAAATAAACGCCTGCCTTAATTAAACGCCTGGTCTGGTTTTTAGCTGCTTCTAAGCTGCTTAGATCCTTAATACACATAGGCTATTAATGTTAAAAGGTATGATCAATATGTTAGTATGGACATGCTGAACATCGTTAGATCGGTTAGATTCTCCACAATTCCACTGTTAAGTTCATTTAACGGAAACAACAAGACCCAAAATCTAATTCTTCTAGAAGAGAGGAAAAGGGGAAAAAAGTGCTGACTCACGTTAACTTTGAAGCACTCGTTAAGTCCGAATGTGTCCCTTCCTTGATTATTTATATTCCTTTAGTCTGTAAGGGTCCACCGATCAAAAGAATCAAAACAGCTTTTCATAAAAGTTAATCCAACTTGTGAATCCTATTCTGTTTCAAATAAATAAACTGTTTCATAGTAGTTTGTTTTGTGCAAAAAGAATTAAAGGCCTGTCCCATATGGACGCCTGTCCCAAATAAAGGCAGGGTCAATTCAGTTTTAGCAAATAAAAGCTCGGGCTATTAGTCAAAGTTTTACGGTACTTTCAAAATGTATTACATTATAAATTACTAGTTACTGTCATCTGAGAGTAATTAGTTATATTAAAATATTACTGTATCTGAATTGTAATGCTTTACACTACTTTTGCATTACTTTCACTGCTATTTAATGGGTGCATTATTCTGATAGTAAGATGTGCTGCATAGGTGGCTTCTAACACTCTACAGTTATATCTGCAGATTGGGTGGGTGTTTGTCATAAAAAACCTTCTGATTAATGGGGGGGGGGTGAAATAGGATGAATCGTCTCCCCATTAAGAAAGTCGCTGTGCGCATTTACGCACGAGGAATAATATCATTGATTATTTGAATCTCCAGACACTATGACAAGATCAGTTTCTGCGCGTTACTGAGATTGTAATGGGTATAATATTACCATTTTTTTTTGTAATGCATTATATTATTGCGTTACAGAAAAAAAATTGTAATTGCATTTCTTTTGTAATGCGTTACTCCCAACACTGGTGTTGACTGGCAGACATAGTTATATTAACCCAAACCATGATCTTTTCTTAACACTAACCAAGTACTTTTGCCTAAACTTAACCAAATTGCAACATTTCACAATTTTAATAAGTTAATGTTTCACAACGCTAGCGTTTTATTTTTAAAGTCTAACTGGATTTATTGTTGCGTTGTTAACTTGACTGCGGAGCCCTAAACGTCTAAAAATGACACTAAAGGGGTAGCTAGGGTGTTGAAAAGCGACGCCAAAGCACCTTGACCAAGTGTCAACATGAGACAAGTTGGGAGTGAGAATGTCTTGGCATGAGTGTGAGGGTGACAATACTGTTATAATATTGGCTCATCTTGTTCTCGTGAAAATCAATATTTGCCCCCCAAAGGCAATTGGTTGCACAGAAGTGAAGCAGAATCACAGAATAGAACAGATACAAATCATGTAACATATCAGTAATACAAAGTAGAATATGTTAAAAACAGTACATTTTCTAAATCTATTTAAAAATAAGCAAAATTTGTACTGAAAATATAAAATCATAAAATATTTAAAATGTTGATCCTGAATATGTATTAGCTAAGTACGGATATAGAGCCTTTGTAGTTATCCGACCACTCAAAGCACTTTACACTATATGTCACATTCACCCATTCACACATAAACTCATGCCAAATGGACATCAGACAGCCACTAACATTCAAACACACACTCACACACCAGTGGTACAGCCATTGGGAGCAATTTGGGGTTCATTATTTTGCCCAAGATTATATCCATGCCAGTGAGGGTCTCTAAATCTGAGAAAATAATTAGTTTTGAGTGGGTGGATGATTAATGCGTAATGTTGACACCCAACAGGAAGTCGGCCATTTTGGATTTAATGGTCATTTTTGACAATTTACACACTTTGTAATACTAAGAGTTCGCAAAAGTACTACTGTATATGTATGTACTGTATATCTACTTCAAAACTATCTCAGAAAACCCTTAACACATTGATGATGTCATGTTGTAAAGCGCGCGAGTTTTCCTTTAACGCCGTATTCGTGGTTTGGCGGCGAAGATCTGTACCAAACTTTATGTGCTTGATGACAGTCCCACCCTGAACACATCTACATGCCAATAATCAGTTATAGTCATAGCGCCACCTACTGGATACAGGAGGTAAGGTTTGTGTGACACTCATCATGTGATTTAAACAAAATGTTCTCAATGTGTTCCACACAGTTACTTTCATTGGTTTTCTTTTCCTTGGGATGTTGTCGAGTAACTTCTATAAAATTAATTGAAACTATAGAATTACAACAGTTATAATTTTACCAAGACTGAATTGGTGAGCCATTATGAGCCATTCTAGTAGTTCCTTCTAGGCTGCAATGCTCATTACTCACATTATTTAAAGCTGGGGTAGGTCATTTATGTCAGAAGCATTTATTGTTACATTTGTTGAAATTTTCTTTACATTCTTACAGCCATCAATAAATCAAACGCTCTGACACAAAAATGAAAAAGATCCAAAGGCTGTGGCAGGACTGTAATAAGCACCGCCAATATTTTAATACAGTTGAATAATTTAAAAATCTAACTGTCTCTTTCTAGTTTCTCTAATATTTCTTACCTACTAGAATATGAAATATCAGTGCAAAATTCCAGGACTGGCACAGAGGAAAGCTCATGCATGAATGTGCTTAGTCAACTGCATGGCTGTCTTCTAAATGTATATATCTCGTGTGCAATTGGACAACTTCACCTGATGCAGTAGAGCAGTAGTTCCTAACCTGGAGCTAGAGACTCCCTAATGTAGCACAAGAGGTGTTTGCAAGATGATATTTCTGCTGGGCAAAATTATCTGTTTTTAAAGCTATTTGGTGTGTTCCTTTGAAATAAAAGTAATAATTATAGTGTATTTCTTCCCTACCAGTCACTGCCCTGCACCTGCGGGATATCACAGACACGAACAATGACCATGTTGGATGGTACCTACAGTGAGGCTGATACTAACAGCCTGGCTGGCTACACTGAGGAGCCCATGGTGCCAGAGGAAGATCATGAAGACCTGCGCGAGGTTTCAGAGAAACCTGAACACATGGTGGTCCATCTGTCAGTGAGCAGCGAGTCCACTACCACCAAGAAGAAGAAGAGCCTGCGTGCCCTCAACATTATCCAGAACACACATGCCATTGACAAATACTCCCGGATGATTTTCCCTGGTTCATACATCTTCTTCAACCTTATTTACTGGTCCGTCTACTGCTGAAAGACACTGAGGCCAGAGAGTTGAACACACAGACAGTATGAATGCTGCATCAAAATGGGACACTTCTGGTCTAATCCCCAGAGTGCTCTTTTACTGTATGTCTTGTAATGATAGATCATTAGCTTTAAGGCCTTGGACAGTAACAGAGCCTGAAAAGATGAGTTCTCTTAGGACTGATTTGATTTTTTTCCTCATGCAGCTATTTGAATGTGCATTAACGTTCTAAACTAAAACAAAGCAAACAATCATTTAAAAACGCTTTTGTTTTTAAACTGATGCTAATTCTCTGTTGAAAAGCTCTTTGTCCTCATTTTTGAAAGTCATGACTTACGTGACAACTTAATTTCTAACATGTCAAGATAACAAACTTTGATCGTATTTTAAACTTGTTATCTGATATAACTTAATATTGAGGAATCAGCAAGTCTAAGAGTGTACACCCAGGTTAGCAGCACTGTGGGGTTGTATTTAGTGGTGCTTTGAGCTAAATGCTAATGCCAACATGCTAACATGCTCATGTTAACATGCTGATGATGTTTAGCAGGTTTCCAGGTTCACCATCTTAGTTTAGCATGCAGGCTAGTACTAGCAACTTTATGGATGAAAGATACTTTTTTTACAGATTAATTAACTCACCACTCTGAAACTCTTGCTCCAGTCCATGTTACTAAAGGGAACATACAGCTGAACCGAAGCCGTGTTTACTGGCTTCTCGCTGACCCACTGACCCGCCCTTCTCTGAATTTCTGTACCAAACTTCATGGTGATCAATCCCCTAGTTGTCAAGATATTTCCCACAAAACTAGAAATGTCAAATGTCATGGTGGGGCTAGAGACAGGTCAAGGTCAGAGGATCACTTAGGACAGTGGTATTCATCCTTCTATTTGCCAAGATATGTCATTCTGGACCAAAGTGACCATCCATGAACCATCCCTAGAGCCCAACTACTGGCATATATAAAAAAGTGTTTTCTAGTGATGACTTAAATGTGTCTTTATCTGAGAAAAACATGCTTCTGTGCTTCATGGTCTGTCAGAGTGGATTTCATCATTGAGTCATTTCACTCAGCCTCGATATGTCAGGTTTCCATCTAAATGTAGCACAAATTTGAACTGAATTTCCAGAAAATCTCCACAAGGAAGGGTTTCAATCCACTGCTATCATTTGAATATTTGGAGTTGGGTATATTAAGATAAACAGTTGGTGATGCTAATTCTCTGCTCAGGTGCTGTTAAACTGTTGCAGAATATGCAACATATTCCTTTGGGTTGTTTCACCAGTGGAAAAGTGAGTCAGAGTTGGAGAGAGGAGTTTGTTGTGTTGGTGTAAGGTAAGTAATAAAAAGCCCTCCCTCATTTCTACAGGCGTTTCCTCCAACAATTCGCCTCTCACGAGATTTCAGAGCAAGTATTGTCCTTGTTACTCGTAGGCATCCTTTCCATGATGTCACACACCTGGTATAACAGTCTGAGTCTGTCGGTGGCAAAAGGAATCAAGGAAGCACTTTTTGTAAACATAATTTTGACCGGCGCAATTGCCCCAAAGGAATACGTTGCAAAAACCATCTAATGCACAGATTCAAAAACATTTTGTACCCACCCGTCATTTTAACACCAAAATATGTGAAATAGGGTTTAAATATACCATAATTATCGTTTGAGATAACGGATCTAAACAAATAGCAGCCATCTCCAATTTCAACTTCTGTAGTACTCAACATGCAAATCATGTATTTTCATTGACTTGGTCCGGGGTGTACCCCGCCTTCCGCCCGATGTAAGCTGGGATTGGCTCCAGCCCCCCACGACCCTGTATGCAGGATAAGTGGCTGACGATGGATGGATGGTTCTAGTTTTGATATTGATACTGTTCATGTGTCTAAATCCTCCAAATCATAATATCTCAACATACTGATTTTGCAAAAGTGTTCTTATTAAAATTCTGAAATTAATTTCAGTGTGATCACCCAGCCAATTGGATAACCTTTCAGAGTGTGAATGTGCTTAGAAACATGATGGCTGTTGGCCTATTAGAATATGAAATATCATGAGTCCAAAATTACAGGACTGGCACAGAGGAAAGCTCATGCAGCAATGAGTCATGTGCATATGTTAAGACTATATGACTAGTTGAGAAACTGGCCTCTTGGTTATCTTTCATAGCAAGGTAATTTGCAAAACACAACTTAAAGGACCATCTTATTTATTGCTAGTTGCCTTAGCATGTGACAGCAATACAGTATGTACCAAGTACTACTGTATAAATGACTGTGGTGATACTTGTCTTATAATATCTAAAAGGTTTATTGGCCAGGGGGACATTTTCTCCTAAGGTCAGTGAATCTAGCTTAATGCAGTGACTTCAGAACTTACCAGCAACCCTGAATGCCATCCATTCAGTATGATTTTAGAGGGATTGGTTCTTTAAAATAAAAATTTTGTGCAGATTTAGGACAAATAAATCTGCTTCTTGTCTATGTTGTATTCACCAGGCAGAAAGTTGAGTTTCTTTTTAAATAAATATGTCTAAATCTAAGTAAATGGTAATGAACACGGTTCCCCAGACCACCAAAATTGTCATTGTGAGTACATACTGGTGTGTCCATTCAAAAGTGAAAATGTTAGATAGAGAACCACATTATCATGCTTTTATTGATAAATGTTATTTTTGTTTTGTTGTTTTTTTTGGGGGGGGGGGTCCTAAATGGTGGCCCAGAGGTGCAAAACACAAGATTTCAGAAAATCAAAGAACAAAACTGGAATTGCAGTTCAGAAAACATGACATCACAATGTGCATTTCAAACAATAATCTTTTAGAAGAGTAAAATTTGGCAAATACACATTGGCTTTTCAAAAAACACGTTTTACAAACAAAAAAGCTCAATACGTTCATGTTTTTTTTCCACCAGATTTTTGACAACTCTGCCTCTGACTGGCTAGTACTACCTGCCTCCATTGATTAGGTTGGTTAAGATTAGGATTCCAGCAGAAAGCAAAGCAAATTTTCACTGTTTGAGCACTGGATTATTGATGTTTATTTGCCTTACTAACAACCCACGAATATTCACCCTTCATCTGAGGTAGTGCAGCAGTATGAACCCAAAATAAATATATTTTGCTGTGACTTAATTGCAATAAGTCAATCAAAAGGATGCAAAAATAACCACCAGATTCATGACTACATGCTTTGTCAGGTCTGTCCCCAAGATGTCAAGCGTTCATTTTTGTTATGTGAGGCTGAATAATATGAGCATATAGTTTGGTAGGCCTATTGAAATGAAGTTTAATATGAATGTGTTTATTTTAGGTTAGCAGCTATACTATAGAGACTGGTAATGTAGCACCTCACCTTTTGCTATGTGGGCGGTAGTAATGTGGGGGGTGTTGAGATTTATTCTTTCACCACTATTTGAGCACTTTTTCTGACATGAATCGACTTCTCATTTTGTTGCTTTATGAAGTAAATTTAGAACAATGTTTGGAACACTTTTGAGTGCGTTAAATAAATAAATCTTAAAATGAGTTGGGACGACAACTTATTCAGTGCCCAAGGCTTTTAATGTCAAAACGTCAACACACAGCTGAGCTGAAAGAATAAGGCTAAAATTGGCATACACGCCATAAGAACACATCAAATCAACACATTCACATTATTCACCTGTTAATTTAGACATTCAAACTGTCAGCAATTTTCTGTCTTCCTGCATGTGTCAGCTGCAGCTGTGTTACTTTGACTATGTCTATTTGTCTGATAATACAGTTTGCTTTCACAGCAGAATCCAGTGTGACTCTTAATTCATCCCGAGCTCAGTGGTCACTCAGCAGCTGTTTGTCGAGGAACAGCAGCTTGGTCTCTAACTCTGCACGGTCCTCCCCACACAACAAATTTTTCGCCCAAGTTGAATTTTTCATGTTGCTCAATTCCTGATGGCCGGAGCAAATTCACATCTATTCGAATCATTGCATTGACTTTATATGTCAAATTTGCTTCACTCTCTGGGTGAACACACAGTTAGGTTGGGGGTAGGGTTCCAGTTAGCCAGTGACAGGCAGAGTAGGGGTCAGGACTTGACGCTCATTATTGTCATTTCGTGCATCCCACATGGGTGGCTTTACAGTCTGTAACATGGTCCCAATTGCACTCCTGAAACTTAGTGTACTATAACATATCTTGATGAGCTATGGACTAGTTTGTCCACAATTTGTGATAATTGCTATAACAGCCTGTTGCTGTAGCAGGACACCTATGAGTGTTGTACTGGAAGGAAAACATGCTCATCCTGGCCATGTGTATCTACCAGCGTAAAAAAATGTGTTTGCATCCCATTTCAGTAGCTTAAGTAATTGTTGCTGCACAGCCAGGATGTTTTGTGTATATACAGTTTTATTTGCTGCCATACTTGACTGTTTGTTCATTTATTCCCTTTAGCAATGTACTGCCACTGATCTTTAGTGCACTTACAGCATTTGATGAAAATGAATCAATCAATATGAAAACATTCAAAAAACGTTCATCCAGCATTAAGGATGGGAAAAAGCAGCTACCTCCTCTGGTTTCTTAAGTGTCATGTTTTCTGAAATGTCATGTTTTTTGAAATGTTGTGTTTAATGTAATGTTGATAGAAATAAATTAAACATTTTGTATGTGTAATTTATATCTATCCATCAGTTTTCTATAAGAGACAGGCCCAAAGTGGCCTGTGGATTCAAACCTAGGACCTCATTGCTGTGACACAATAGTGCAAACCACTGAGCCACTGCCCGGCCCGAATGCGTTGACATGTTTTCCGCATTATCTTTTGCACTTCAGTGCCACTAAAGTTCTATAAATGTGAAATATCAAAAAAGATCAGTTAAAGCCAGGAAAGTAACTAAAATGTACAACTTAACATTTTTATGGAGGTGGTAAAAATTGTGAAGTATAAAGTATCATACATTTCATGTACAAAGTTCTTTTAGACCCCAAAAATCCAGACTTTTTTATTTATTTATTGATATCATAGTAGAGTGACATTTGAAACATACTAGATGTGCTAAAGAATGTATTGTAACAAGGTAAAGTATTTATAAGCTTTTTTTATAAAATCTAATGATTTTGTATATTAGTGTAGTCATTTAGATCAACCAAACTGTACACACATACAGTATGTACAAATCAAATTGATATCCAGCAATTTGACTGGTTCTATTATGACAGCATCTGGTTTTCCATTTATTGACAATTGGGTTTGTCAATAACATTGTTCAACGGAAAATTTAAACATTTGATTGAAAATATTTTATGTCCACATTATACACACTGCTACAGTATGCACATTTATAAAATGTGTAGCTTTTTTGGAAGCTGTTCCTATTTCATTCAACATGAAATGTTATTGAAATGTTATGCAGGCCCATCACTGTAACTATTCATGAGTTGCTACTGACACTGTCACAATGTATTTATCAGGGGGTGTTAAATATAATTATGATGAACCAAGTATGCCTTTGATTTAGAAACATTCTTGACCCAAGTACACACATTCAAGTTTTAAATTGTTGTCACAATTCAGCTCAAGTGTGGCTACAGGGAAAAA